GTATCTCCACCAGTCGACTGACGATTGACGATATAGATAACACATTGGACACGTTGACATTGCACACGATAACACGTTGGACAACAGTCAGAGCCTGCGACTCACCGGAAATGGCGAACACTGTGCGTTAGAAAGAAAGAGCGTAACATAAGCATACTATACTCCACCTGGTAGCAGTATTATCATTAGGAGTACTACTGGCCATGAGCAATTCAATGCGAGCCATCAGTATCCCTGTCTGAAAAAGGACCTCATACAAACGGACCGTCTCATATGAGACCGAAAGTTACTGTGAATTGTTATCCTCTCTGGAATCAGATGGAGGTCTCCTCTCCTATACCAAAGTAGAGACAATAATCGTTTCAAGGATCGTCATGTGTCACTCAACAATCCTCAAGAGAGACTAACATGAATTCTTCTGTGAACGCAACGACTCGATATCAGTAACAAAGCATATAGAAACGTACAACCGTGCTAACGTAATGGTGACGGGGAAGACATTGGACTCGGGGCGAGCCCATTAGGGTGCTGCTGCTGCTGAGGGCTCGCTGACGGTGGTGGTCGGGGCCTCGATTGAACCACGGAAAAGCCAAAGTCCTTTATGAACTCACAATCGGTCTGAACATGACACCATAGATGAAGAGAGACTCTGAAAACCTCACAGCTCTCGGGAGGGGAGGGTTAACCAAATGTATCGGCTTCAATGCAGCATCGATCACTGGCTCCAGGGCCGCTGCCGGCAGAGCACTTCGCCCTGCTGATGTTGCCGCTTCCTGAGGCCAAGGGTAACGCGAGCACCGACGAGTTGCTATTACTTGTTCTCTGAGTAGGACCGATACAGATCCCGGAAGAATCATCTGGCCAGCATCCCTCGCTAACTCAATGTAGTTGTAAGCGTATAAAGCTAGAAGACGCTCTCTAGCGGACTTCTTGTCGGAACCTCGGTCGTGTACTGCCCGCATACAAGAGTGAACCTAAGCCACTGAGTTGGGCGCTACTGACCACGAGCTAGGTTTCTAATATGAGCAAGGCTAGTACATCAGTACCAGAACACGAGGAACCGGACCAAATTTCGGATTGGATGCCTCTCTGACCTGAATTTCCAAGTCGATCTGGCCAGCGGGCCCTGCCTCACTGAGCATCTCACTGACAAAGTCTTGGAGACTCTCGTCATGGTATTCTGAGACCGCCTCCTGGCCATTGCCAGTACGTCGTTCCACAATGAGCAGCCATAACGGAGCCATCTTACGCCGTATCCCGAGGGCGAGCTGAGCCGCGAACACACATGTAATGAGAGTTGTCCGCGAGTCAGTATTACATCACTAGCAAGCACGACGCGGAAAGTCCCCCCTCGAGCTGAGTACTCTTTTCCTCGCAATATTGTAGGATGACGACCTCGCTGTTGCCACAGTCTGGTATGCTCCAATGTTGTAAGCAGAAGCTCGGGACCGTCGAAAACAAAGGATTCCTCGCGGACCGTCCACGGCAGATCATGGACTTGCTGAGGTGGGCAGCCTGGGTAGGTTATGCGCCAAGGAGTGGCTTGTTCACGCATCAGGAACACACGCCCAGGGGCTTCGCCAGGCAAACGTATTACGCTGAACTCAGGAGTTAGGGAGCCTTCGAGGAGATCGTCTGAGGCAAACAAACTATAGTTAAATGCGATAGAGAGCCTAACTAATAGTCAGTGACTGACTTTGGAGATCCTATAGCCCGTGATCGTAGGATTTGATATTTTTGAGAAGTCCTTGCATTTGAATTGGTACTGAAACAGTGGAGTTTAACCATAGTGATATAAAAACACTAGTGGAAAACACATTTCACGACTACTACAGGCCGCGAATATCGCGTTTTTCACCGAGTTTCACGCCACTTCACGTAAAACGGGTGAAACTCCAGTGTTGGAACAAATGCCTGCTTTCCTCAGCAGCTCCTCGGGTGTTTCCTCACTAATTATAGAAATTCACATACAAATTCGGGTAGAAGTGTACAGAAATTAACGAAAAATTCCCAAATTTTCCTCAGAATTCTCATGTTGACGTCAACACATGCGGTTGACTATATGCATATTTTCCCACACTGTACAGAGAAGTTATTAGAATTTCGAGAGATACCACTGACTATCACTTGCCGTATCGAACACATGACGAGTTTCGTTATTACTCATCTCAGTTCCATGTCTATCAGCATCCACTTGTGTGCTTTGTACTGTGGTCCTCTCAGGCATCACAGGCTGGTAGTAGTCCCTGCCTGTAGCTCGCCACTCGCCCAAAACTCTGCATGTCCCTTCCTGTCGTAGCCACAGCTCTACGTCGAGACCACATTCACGAGAAAGGCAGAGGCCAACACATTCCCCCATGGCTCAATTAAACTAAGGGATGGTTCACATTCCGGAGGTTCCCGGATCGATACTGGCATGCGGAACATGCTCTTCCTTTCCAATTTTCCAACTGTGAGCCACTGAGTCTTGTGAGAACTGTATGCAGAAGCTCCATTTTGGCTTCGATGCCTTCACTCAAAAATGTTGATTCTCAACGACTTGGAGCTTTTTCGACTTGTCTAGCCGTCCTCGTGAGCATTGAAGTTAATATGTCCGCAAACTATAGCGACTATTATTCATCATCTAGTACTAATCTTCTTCACTTCTTCATTTATCCGTGTCGCAAAAGATATATACTCTTACACCTCAGCATTTGGGGAGCGTAGTGACGGGCTCCACTCGTTGATATTTGACTAACACACTTCCAACTTATATGTATACTTAAATATTGCGCAATGGGGACATGCCCTGCGTCCTAGCGGCAGATCCCAGGAGCCCTGCTATACCCGAGATAGAGCCTCTGGTTCGCTCATTCAGTCTATCGTCAATAGACTCGAGTTGGAACTGCCGGTTAGATGTTTTCGTGCGGCACTACGAGTGAGCTTCGCTTCGCCCGAAAAATGATTCCGGAATGACATTTCCGCAAGTCAGTTTTTTGTTAGCCCTAGCGTTACGTGGGCCAAGCTTATAACTAATTTTAGTACATGTGCTCGTCCTGGACTGGTCGACCGTGACCAGGCTCGGACCGGTTCGCTTACCGGTAGTGTCTACTATTTGCCGTCTCCTTAGGGTATAGCCGTGATAAACTCTGAATTGTCTCTAGCAGCTAGAGTCTAGCTATCGTGAGTGGGGAATGGTGTGGTAAGCGAAAATCCGAAAAAAACTTCAGTATCAGTGCTATTTCCATGGCCATCACCAAACGAATCGAGAAGGAGACGCAGAAGCTGAGGGATGATCCTCGTAATAAGGGGGTATCGGTGTGCGCAGTATGAAGATTTGAGCTTTGGGGTATCTTTAGGTTGACCGTGCTCTTGATGGTTGTTGAAGATTTTTTTCTCTCAGCCCCGGGCCTTTATGCTGTCCCTGATCCCAAGAACAGTCGTTACTTCCATATCGAGTTAGAGGGACCAGACGGCACGCCTTACGAGAAGGGTTATTACAAGTTGGAGATGTTTTTACCCGAGGGGTATCCTATGGAGCCTCCAAAGGTGAGTACAGGTCGTCCTGTCGTGTTCGGTTGGTATATAGAGAGCTCTAAGGTCCGTTTCCTAACGAAGATATATCATCCAAATATCGACAAGTTGGGTCGTATATGTTTGGATATTCTTAAGGATAAATGGTCCCCGGCACTTCAAATGAGGACCGTCCTACTCTCCATTCAAGCGTTGCTATCCGCCCCTGAGGTAATACCATACCTTCTACTACTGGTTATATAATGTAAACTAATCAGACTTAATCTCTTTCAGCCCGATGATCCGCTTGATCCCAGTGTAGCTGAGCATTTCAAGCACAACAGGGCCGAAGCTGATGCCATAGGTGATTCACTCGCTCCTTGGAACTCTCCTGATGTCACTCCTGGCCTGTTGTAATTTTCTGCCTTTCAGCACGAAATTGGAATCAGAAGTATGCCCTGCACGAGCCTCCCAAGACGATGATGCTCTAGATGTGTGCCAAGAGCCAATGCTTGGTACATTAGCTTTGTAGTAATGCTGGACCAGTGCTTGTTTGATGACGAAGAGTTATGGCCGCATTGATATACCTGTTATACTGTTGAGGAGTCCCTTGAGACCAGCGATCGCTATGGGCTCTGGTTATGACTCTTGGTGCTCCCCTCCCCGATACTGTGTAATAGTTGACAGTTCCCTCTATATCGTTTCTTTTCAAATCTCGGGAGTTGCGTATATCAATAATAGAAGGATTGGAGTACTTAGGGTGTCCTTGGGGGAACATCTCTGAATGGTCACTACTAAGCGCATTGAGAAGGAGACTCAGAAGTTGAAGGAAGATTCTCGCTAAACTGTGGTAGAGGGAAATGGGCTCGGGCCGATAGTAGTTGCTCCTTGTCTGCAGCGCCGGGGCTGTCAGCCGTCCCTGCTTCTGGCAATTTGAGATACTTCCATATCGAGTTAGAGGGACCAGACGGCACCCCTTACGAGAAGGGTTATTACAAGTTGGAGATGTTTTTACCCGAGGGGTATCCTATGGAGCCTCCAAAGGTGAGTATAGGTCGTCCTGTCGTGTTCGGTTGGTATATATAGAGTTATAAGGTCCGTTTCCTAACGAAGATATATCATCCAAATATCGATAAGTTGGGTCGTATATGTTTGGGTATTCTCAAGGATAAATGGTCCCCGGCACTTCAAATGAGGACCGTCCTACTCTCCATTCAAGCATTGCTGTCCGCCCCTGAGGTAATACCATACCTTCTACTACTGGTTAGGGCGGGATCCCCTTATTGCCAGCTCGCTGATCCCCTGGAAACCGGTGTCGCTGAGCATTTCAAACACAATAGGGCAGAAGCGGACAACGTTGGTAGTAATGGAAATTTACTACTTTTATGGTATATTTGTGCTAGCCCGGAGCTGGAACCAGATCTATCCGATGCATAAAAACAGTTGTGAAGTGTCGCTGTGAGTTGTGCTATTTCCATAGCAACGCTGCAATGTATCAATTGTATTGGACATATGCCGGCAGTTTCCTAAACACTGACACCTTTGCTGTTGGTTGTCTAGGATGGAGGGTGCCGGGATCGAACCTGCGTTTAGTTGGCTTAGCTCCCTCTTCGCTGGCTCCTGTTGCCATCTTCAATTCCTCATCATGGTATCGCCCCCAGATCGGGGTCAGCATAACCCGGTGTTGGGCTCACCTTGCCGTGTTGATAAGGATGCTTCTTCGCCTTCTACAGTGGACGACATCAGTCATTGCAGTCCAATGACGAGGAGCTCATCCCCAGTGTTGGTGACGCCTCCTCAGCAGAGCCAAGCGGGCCTTCAGACCGCCTTGGGCTTTGCAGCATCACAGTTGTTCAAAGCTGGATGTTTTGTGGGTAAGCTCATCCACGCTTACTCGTAGTCTCTCACCGTTGGAGTCGGTGAATGTGTTTTCTTCGATATGCGTTATAGAATTGGTACTAGTATTGTGAGCTTTGTTTACAATCTGCGTGGACTTCAGTGATAGTCGTGGGAACATTTGAGAAAGAGATTTTAGTTGTTTCGTCAGGTGATAAGATCGATGAGCTCCTCGACGCGTTGATCCCTAATGAGACTTCTCCGAATCGCACCAGAAGCGTGGGGCGGCCGCCTAAAGAGTCAGCGCTGGAAGATCACGAATGGGTCCTCGTTGAGCGGCCCTCCGACGGCCTATCACCTCATAGTTCTGCTGGTATTATGCACAAGTAGGATCTGTCCTACTGATGTACACTATTGGTGTGGAAGTGTATATGAGTGAAATTTGTTGGTGTACTATTCAATGTTATTGCTACTATCACTTGGTGTCCACCGAATCGATTTACGTTAATTCGGAATTTTCTATTGTGTTCAAAGTAAATCATTCGAACGTTTCTCGGTTGTCTTTCTCCTCCTTTTGTGTGTCGTGAATGGTGTTCGGGGACATCGCGGAGGTCTGGTTACCTGAGCTATGCTGGAGCTACAAGACGGGTCGATTCGAAGAGCATATGGGCGTGAGGATTCTCACGGCAAATCGCATTGATGGAAATCCCGTCAGGTTGCTGTGTCGAGGAGTGGGGTGATAGTAGGGGTGTATGAGGACCTCTCGGGCATCCCTGAGGCCTACCGCCAGAGGGAGTTCAAAAGGGTGGCCATGCTACCAGGATTTGTCAACTGCCATAGTCATGCTTTTCAAAGGAACCTCAGAGGCAAGGGAGAATCTGATTATGAAAGAGGTCGGTGTAGAGGACCGGATGGTCATGTTGATCGTTTTAGAGGTGATTGCATGGTCAGAGTCTCGACGCTGTGTTGTATAGTCATATCGTCGGGAGGAATCCATGAGCGTGGAAATATGAGTTCAATGCTAGTTCTTGTGTGTGTATTTCCTACTATACACGTACAAGTTCAGGTGGTGATAGAACGGCGAACTTCTGGTCGTGGCGGGAGGAGATGTATCGTCTAGTGTCTACCGTAGCAGCTGATAAGACTCGTTTTAAGGAAGTCTGCCAGTAGTGTTAAGGATGGCTATCCTTATCTGATTTGGGATAATACTCTTCCTCAGACGCTGTTTTTCCGAGATGAGAGATGCCGGTATCACCAGCGTGGGTGAGTTCCACTACCTCCACCACCAGGACGCGGCTACTGCTAATGACTACGCATTGGACCTAGCTGTGTTGGAAGCCGCCCATGATGTTGGAATACGAATGAGATTCATTCAAACGTGAGGCTAGACGCTTTCATACTCGTAGTGGTGGTAGTCGATACCTAGGCTTTCAATTCATGATGTTTTATAGTCGGGCGTAGTTACCGAACCAATCATATCTCCTCGTCCTTAGATATTATCATTCCTCAAGTGCTGATGGCAGGCCTCTCGAGGGTAGTCAGAAGCACTTTGAGTCACATGATGTAAATAGTTGATTTCTTCGTGGAGTCTTGACGGTTTCCCTGTCAGTTGAATGTTTTTAAAGGGCAGTTCGAACGACTCGAGGCCTTTGTCGCTGACAAGCCTCTACTGGGGTTGGCTGTAGCCGCTCATTCTATCCGAGGCTGCGATCTGAAGAGCGCCAGAGAGTTATTGGATTTCGCAAGGGAGAAGAAGGTCCCCTTCCATATGCATGTGGAGGAGCAGATGCAGGAGGTGGAGGATGCCAAACGGGTGTAGGCTTCTGATCGATCACGAAGTGAATCACTACACGTCTCTAATTCGGTCCTACAAGTTAGCGCTAGCTTATGCTAAGACACTAACCCGATCTCATCACATGAATATGTTCATCAAGTTCCTTATACGGACGTATGTTTACCCATTCTGGGGTCAAGTCGACCGACTCCGGAAGCGAAAATGAATTCCAAAGCGCAGTCAAAGCCGAATGCATGCTTCTCATCAGCACCCGAAACTGGACGAGTAGGTTAATTCGAATTTCGATTGGAATTTGGCAGGTACTCAGGGCGGACAGTATCTCGTGCGCTGTTGGACAGTGGTATCTATGGCTCTGATGTGACGCTGGTTCACTGTACACATACTACTGTAGAGGACATGATAGATCTCGCGGGGAAGGGCACCAACATTTGTATATGTCCGACCACCGAGGGCTGCCTAGCTGATGGTTTTCCAGACCTATCTCAACTGCGGCCAGGCGACGGACAGGTTCCTTGGTCGTGGTCTCATCAGCGTGAGGTCTCACTTCAGGTGTGTATAGGATCGGACTGCAATTCCCGTATCGACACTTTGGAGGAGCTCAGATGGTTGGAGTATGCTCACAGACTTCGGACGCAACGACGTGGTGTGCTCATTACGGATACCTTACCGAAAACTCCCGAGGAATCAAGGCTGGCTGTAATGAAGATTTGCTTCACTCGAGTCGCTGGGATCAGTCTATGTGCATCACTAGTATCATTAAACATTCATCCTTTCTTAGACTGTACTCCTTGGTATCGCCACGGAAGGGGGAGCACGTTCCCTCAGCCTTACTGAAGTTGGACGGATCGCCGCCGGTTATGTGGCTGATGTTTCTCTGGTCAACCTCGACCATCCAGCTCTGGTTGGTCTAGGAGGCGACATTCGGGATACCCTAGGCCCAGCGTTGGTATTCGGTCTGAGTGCTAATGAGGCGGTCTGTGCTAGTGCGGTGGCCGGGAAGTAGTGAACTAGTCGGGCGTGTTCTTTTGGAGCATCGTGGGCAGGTGGAGAATTTCCCAATCGGGTCTGGCTGTGAGCTCAGTAGAGTTTCTAAACCGTCCTTTGAAAATCAAGCACCACATCATAATGCAGAAGGGCGTCCTCCCTGAGGACCCTGGAGACGTTCTTGCCTTGGCTCGAGCGTTCATAAACTCGGCCAGCCCGAGTGGGTACGAGAAGAACATGGGGGAGGTCATAACGGACCGCTTGAGGATGACTGGATGGGAGGTGATGGAGTGCCTCGGGTTGAGTCTGGTATCGCATCTGTGGTGCCCAGGTAGAGGCCTTTGAAGTGGCCCCACAGGCCAACAATCCCGATGGCCCGATGCGACATAATGTCTTTGCCTACCGTCCTGGCTGCAGGGATAGAGTTGAGGTCCTCTTTAACACGCATCTGGACACAGTCCCACCGCATTTCGACTCGTATCTCGACAAGGACCCTGACAGCGGTCGACAGCGGCTACGAGGAAGAGGGGCGTGTGATACGAAGTCCCTCTCGGCGTCGATGATTGTGGCAGGAGACAGGCTTGTTGCCGTGAGTTCGCAGACGATCTCTGAGGGGTTTATATAACCCCACCATTGTTCAGTCTGGTGTCGGCGACAAGGTGGGTTTCTTATTCGTCGTTAGCGAGGAGACTGACCACAGCGGTATGACAGCGGCCAATAGTCAAGTAGGGAATCTTATCCCCAGTCTGAAGTGAGGGCATGACTATCGCGCGAGGTGAAAGATTAGGTAGGTACGTCATAGTAGGAGAGCCAACTGCGGGCAAAGTTATAGTTAATCAGAAGGGGGTTGTGAAGATCCGTCTTACCGCTAAGGGTGTCGCCGCGCACAGTGGATATCCTCACCTGGGTACGAGCGCCATTCATACCCTCACTGAGCTCCTACACAAAGTTATGGCCTATCCTTGGCCCAAGGACGACGTTCTGGGCGGTATGGTGGCGGGGCTTCTGTTCTGCCTACATGGCAAAGTCATAGATACGGACGTGAACGTTGGCCGCATCGAAGGGGGTCAGGCTGATAATGCGCTAGCGGAGCGATGCAGAGCCACATTGATGTTCAGAGTTACCGAGTCGTGAGTTTCCCAACTTGAGCATCATGGACAGGATACTCGGCGTTTTCAGATCTGCCCGTATAATTGAAGTGGTGGAAAGTCTCTGCGTGAATGCTACGGGGGCCTCTGTGGAAGCAGAAGTTATCTCGAGAAATGAACCTGTTAATATGAAATATGTTAAAGAGTAGAAACAGTTTCTCCCACTGCCTCTACTTTGGTGCTCAGACTCGTTAAAGGCCATCCATTCGGAGTGGCTGCCTTTAATACCGACATATCATTTTTCGCTCCGACTTTGGAGATGCACGACGCCAAAGCCATCCTGTAAGGCTGGCAGTAGCGCCTATTTGCCTAAGCGTTGGGAAATGTGGTTTGATCCATGCGCCGAATACATCACCAGCGAGCATTGGCGCAGTACCAGTGGGGCACTGGGCCAGTAGCATTCCTCTGAGTTACTATATGAAGAATGTTCATGCTTGAGTTTTTTTCGAGAAACATTATGATCGGTCGAAACGACTCGGTGTAAAATTGATAATGGAGTATCGTCCGGTTCTATCCCAGGTTCGGTCTGGGTGATATCTGTGATGCGCATTGTGAACGCGAATACATATATGTTGATGACTTAACGAAATGTGTGGCAGCATATGAGGACTTGGCAGGACAACTTCTCGAGAGATAGAGCGGGACTGACAGTGCCCGTATAACAATGCTTTACTGTTCATGTTTTGCCTTCAATCATCTCATTTTTTCTGGTTATGCTCGTGTTGACTTTAGAAGTACGAGGTGTAAGGAGCGTATTTTTTCTTTGGCAAATGCAAAAAATCCGCGTTTCTCGTTAACGAATGATACTTTTGAGCTGAAACTTCAACAAAGCATAGATATTATGATTAGCTATTATATACTGGAATGAAACTGTAATCTTCGGAACCATCGAGATCATGCGAGTTACTACAAGATGAACGCGCGTGAGTAATGAAATAGTTGCGACAAGTCAATGGTATCCATGGCACATCATGTCAGAAAGGTACCAAATAATTCTAAGGCGGCTTTGGCGCAGTAGGTAGCGCGTAGGTCTCATAATCCTAAGGTCGCGAGTTCGATCCTCGCAGGCCGCACTTATCGTTCCCTCCCCTTTGAACAATCATCAGGAACACAACACATGATGAATAAGTGATGTACACGAAGAATGTATAGGTTGTGTGGTATGTGAGCTCCAGTATACTGGCATGTTGAGTGAATCTAATTGGAGGATAGAGCAGAATTCGCCGAATTCAATTCGGCCAATCAACTGCCCAGACTCTGCTCAAAATAATATACTGTCGTCTCTGCAAACCGACAGCTCTTGCCGCATACCCTTGAACTCAGTCTCATACAAAAGATCAGGTCCAGAACACTGAACTGAGAAACCGATATGTTTTCTCTGCAGAACTAGGCATCTGGTCCGATGTCAAGGAGGCTCTAGCGCCAGATGATTCAACAACTCCTGCCGTAGGGACACGTGTGAA